CAAGGCCTGGTATCGCCGGGTGGGCGGGCTATCTTCAACGTTAACATCCGAAATGTCACCTGCACTAATGGCGGGCGAGCGTAAAGGCCCTCCACGTCGGGCATGAAACTCCACGGAGGCCAATGGGATATTTAGAGGATGAGCGGACTCCATAGGTTTTCATTCCCAATTCTTCGAGTGATGGGAGAAGAAGAGGGAGAGAATGCGAAATGTCGGAAGAGACCGGAGTTATATACACCGGAGTACACGAAGAACACCGGTGATTACCAATGCGATTGGCGGAGCCGTGGAACAAAAGATAAGATTATAAACATAGGCGCTAGGCGAGTTGAACCAAAGTTGAACCAAGGTATTCGCCTTTGAGCCCGAAAAATATGGAGGAGGAGAATCAAATTCATGCAACGCTTTGAGTCCGTGCAGGAAGTTTGGGAGTTGGAAATACCGCCATCAATACCGGCGGCACTGCCGGCACATACTATCGGAGTTTGAAACATCTTCAACCCATCCTTGCTCGCTCGCCGGTTGCTCACTCATGTCCGCTGATACTATATCCAGCCTTTGAACTTATCGCTTTATGAGAATCCCCTGGCCTGATGACAGGTATCGAGTTGAATAAACAATGCGCCACCACCAATGCACACTCGTGTTCAAACTTGCAGATATCTGCGAAGATTATTTGACAGGAATCAAACCATACATAACTGGACCTGGGAAGGATCGCTTGATTTACTCAGACTTCCTCCTCCGGGCCTTGGACAAAGCAAACCACCTGCAATTGTGCCGCTTAATCTTATATATCTTCACACTCTACTTCTCCTGCTCATGAAGTCAAAGCAGCTTTTCACATGATCCAGGAACCATAGGTACCATAAAACGACAATTAAATTCAGATGAATAGCACAGACGGCTCATTTGCGAACAGTTTAGGAGTGGGTTGACTGTTGTTTGGAACAGTGCCCATACCCTGCCGTTGGACCGGCCGCTTACCAATCACACCGCCGATCACACCGCCGGCCTCCCAAACTCCCGGTATTTCCAACTCCCAAACGCACTCCGTCCGTGCAACTGTCCAGTTTCATTTGATTTATTTCGAAAGTTCTTCCAGTATCTATTGCAAATCTACTGTAGTTCTGGCAATTCATGTACATACTATGTAAGGCCGAAGGTCTCGAGGTAATACATCCTGCCCCGGCAGGAAAATGATGCACCAATCACCTAGTATACACTGTAACCTCTTCCAGCGACCCCTCGTCGTCGCTTCGGGTGCTGCGCTGAAGAGAGAGGAGTTGCAGGCGGCTCCATCTACTTCCCATGAGCGCGGTGTTGTATAATTGACGGCATTTACAGATTGTGACCATAGAAAATAGAGGGATCGCAGGATCGGACGAGGCAGGTGTTGCTGGAACAGGTCACAGCGTATATGGTGTACTCCGTACCGGGGGGTAGTAAGACGACCCAAAATAAGTTACAGGTGGCTTTATTTCCGTCTCATTGCTGAACCTTTAGGTTTGGCTACCCTGGGGAACTTTGGGTTTCGATCACGATCTATTTTCCTAACATGCACAAACAAGGAATGCGTCATACAAATTTAGTCATCATGCTAAACAGTATTAGTTTTTGGCGTTGCGACGTGGAATTTCTGGTGTGCAGTGCCATGCCGCCTTTTTCTTACCAAATGCCAGCATCGCAGTTCACATAAGTTACTACTGCTACCAAAACGCTACTGGCTTTTCGTTCTGATGTGTCATTTTCTTTTCGAGTTCGTCCGACCGCATCGGACTCGGAATATTTTTGTCTCCGAAATCAATCAGTTGACATGAAAAACCCAGTGGAGTCGAAGGGGCTAATTTTGACGTTGTGATGGCACCTCCAAGCAGGTACGAATTTATTAACATTGATTAAGTACAAAGCAATCTACTAATCTGCTGTTAGTTGACAATGCGCCAGCGCCACCGATAGGCAAAGACTCATGTTTCCTTTTCTACTGCCCCGCGCAAAGATGACGCACCGAATCACCGAATCGTGGTTCGTGTTGAAGGTTCCCGGCTGTCCCTCGGTCTTCCAAGCCGATGTTCCGTTCGTATCGTATGCGTGCATTGCATCCAAGTCGCGTCTACTTGTAACTTGATAGCACCGCCATGTCGTGTGCACTGCCTGCACGAGCCAAAACCCCAACTCTTGCAGACTCTAGATCATGTAGTAGTGGACATAGACAATCTCTTGTTTTGAATTAAGTGTGCCGAGGAAGTTGGTAGAGGCGACTCAGGCGAGTACAAGGAAGACACATCGTGGCAGCAGAGTCAGAGGGAGAGTGCCGTCACGCACATACATCACGGCAAGTCATCACGAGCTGTGTTGTCACCTGGTCTGGAATACCCGGAATACCTCCTGCCCAGTGAGGGTGGTCTGGATGAAGGTAACTGCACTTTTTTTGCAGGAGAAGTTATTGAACAGTTGAAGCCGAACATTTGAAAATCAGAAAATGTTACCCGACGCTCCGTTTGCTCCGGCTCGATCCGACTGTTTGGAATCGTAGAAAGTCCCTCTTCAACTTGAACCTAAAGGTTCAGCGCCCGCCTCGAAGAGGCCCAATCCTCAGTCATGAACGTGCTGTTCCATATGTGCCTGATAGCATTTTTGGAAAGTGTTACCACAGAAAATAGAATGATCGACGGCATGGATGCACGCCCTGGCCTCTTCCAGCGACCCTTACCTCGTCTGATTCTCCGATGCCTTGTATTTTCTGGAGTAACACTGTCAGAATGCCGTGAGGTATGGAACACGGCGTTCATGAGAAGTCAATGGATTCATCTGCAACTCCTGTCTCTCTTCAGCGCAACACTCGAAGCCGGACAGACGCCGTGACCTGTCCCAACGACCTCTCGTCCTATATGTCGTTCTGTACGCCGATTCTGATATCCCGAAAGCGCAAGAACGTGCGGGAAATCGATGAAAGAGGAAATGCAATGCCATTGTGAAAATTCGGACGGCAGGGAATAATAGTTGATGGGTGCGAGTTTTTTTTACTTTTTGTTATAATCAAAATCAGTCCCTGTATTGAATCCCATATGCGTGTGTTTAGCGTGGCGCAATTCATCCCGGTGAATCTGCGACGGTACAGATAGGCCTGAAATCGGTTGCGAGCAGGTGTCTGTGTTTATAATATTTGCGGTGTTTTGGGGGTATATCTAAGGGATAATCGGCGATGCAGATGCGTGAGCCTCCTTTCAACTTTGGCCGTGAATCATTTCAGGTGCGATTTCGCAGAGTTCATGAACCAGATAATATCCAGCGCGGGGAACTTCCATTCTGGCTACTTCGCCAGCGACTACTAATTTGCCAGTGCGGTTGGATCCAGATACGGATATGGAATCAGTTCTCGATCCTGTTTTGCGTCGCTGGGTGTCGTGAGCTCAGCGCAACCAGAAGCTCGACTCGAAGCATCCATTGATCCAGTTTATGAGCGTCAATTTCTTTCCTGGTGACTCATACCCATTCCCCTAATAAATGTTATCGATCAATGTTACATCCTCTGCGGAACAAGATCTGCCCGGCCCCTGAATAACAACCCCTGCCTCGAATTACATAAAAGAGTCCCCATACGCCGATGCTATCACATCCTCCACCCCCCAAAACCCAAAATGAATATTGACGCCGCCAATGCCCCTCAGTTCTTCCGTGACTACGTCGACCGCCGGAGGTTCGCAACGTTGACGAGGCCACCGCGGAAAAATGTTTTTGGCTTGCGTAGTAAATGACGCGGTATGTCCCGCGTTTCCCACCTCCTGCCTCCCAGTGCTGACGTTGGAACCATAGGAAATAGAATTCTCCTCTGTGACGCTAGACAACTTGATGCCGCTCCGCAAAACTGGGCGGTTGGTGTTCAAGCCGGAAGAGGAGGACAGACTGACGCAAACGGGCGATGCGGTGCTCCAAGAGTATCGCATGTACACCGAGCGTGTTGAAGATGTCGTGTTGCCGCCGGTCAGTCATCTATCTTTTTCATATGGAGTCTTACCGAGGCCCCACAGATTCAGGTGCGACGTCGCATGCTCATCGGCATCATTCTTGACGCCGCCGTCTACGAGGCGCAGAAACATCAGCCAACCGCGCATGTCAAAATCTCGAGCAACACCGGGAGTCGTCTAACGCTCGATACCGACCACCTCATGATCGTGCCGCAATGCCAGCGTGAGGGCTCCGAAGTGGTTGCAGACAGAATCACCTTCCATGGTCGACTGGAGTCACTGGACACGATCATGGTGGTCGAAGATGCAGAATACCGTAAGTTTGGGCTGTGTACTTTCTTTTCCAGGGAGGGCATCGCTGACAGCCCTGTGTGCAGGTTTTCTTGAGAACAATCACATTTCCCCCTGTCTAGTTGTTGACCGCAACAGTTTGCTCACTATCGTCGAGGTAGACTCGCTGGACGAGGGAAGCGCACAGATTGAGGCACAATGCCTCACTCTTCTCAAAGTAACGTTTGTTACTGTTTTCTAAACTCAAGACATAATTTCTGATGATTGCAAGCAGCAACCGCGCCTTCTTCGCTGGCGTCCTGACGACCGGTGTGGTGTGGGTGTTTTTCCTCGCCGCAGCAAACCCGGAGGGAGTTACGATATATCGGAGCCCCTACCTGCACGGGCGTGCAAAACGTGGACTCATTGTTGCCACCCTTATCAAATTCATGCGGAATCCGGGCACTCTGCCTCAGATTTTCACCGTCCTGTAGAGCAATGAACATTCTCTGTTGTAATACTTCTTTCATTTTTCGTAACCCTCTGTTCTTCCCTGGCCATGTCATAGCTCCCATTGAGACAGGGTCGTCCGACATATTGTGCTTGATTGCGCCAAGGATTTGTGGCGTTACCACAGAGGTCATCAGGTACTGGGCTTAAAAACTCGAAGGTTACACTAGCGTCGAACGTATGCGTTCTTTCGGAGGAATCTATGTATGCAATTCAAGGTACTGTAAGCTAGACGCAATGCATTACTCTCATTCGGACATGGTGCAAGGGATAGCGCGGTCTCATAAATTCTCCCATGGGCTGGGATGAGAGACAGATCGAGGTTCGATTCCTCGTGTTCGTCATTTTTTTTCGCCCGTGGGATTTTCGTGCGACACAATGTAGTCATCCGAACCTAGAAATTCCATCCTGTAAAACCGAGAATCTTGCATAAAATCCTTGTTCATTCTGGACAAACGAATCTGTAACATGCATCAAGTCAACATCGAGCTGGCAGGTTGAAATCTTTTCCGGCGCCGTAAGGATATCAGAGTTTGATTCCCCTGGTTCGAATTCTACCGAATTCCAGACAGACAGCAGCGCGATATAAGCTCTACAGAACAAGCGAAAACCCGAGCGCTCTCAACTTTTCTTTTGCCACCCTTAGCCAGTTTTTTCACGAGTCTCCTAATCGACTATGACCCCTGCCTACTAGTTTCGCAATTGACACTCGCAGCAAAAACACGTATATATCACAACACCATTACATTAAACTTCCAAGTACTCTATCCATCATCTTTCGCATAGATAAAGAAAGGGCCTAGAGACACGCGCTCCCCACACAGGGGATAATCTTCTTCCCCGATGTCGTTTCCGGAGACATCTGCCACGGCGTGGTGCTGTTCAGCGCCAGCATGTTCACCGGCGCAGGCAGCCTCGCCGCCGTGAGCGACTTGTCGAGCCCGGGGCGCAAGAAGACCTTTCCGCTTCCCGCGCCCTTGGCGTTCAGGTTCGGCGCAGCGAAGGGGATGAACGCGGCCGAGGCTGCATTCGCAGAAAGGCAGGGCGAAATCGTTACTCAGCGACGATCCAGACGGAATTAGGATTGGGAAGACGTACTCAAAGCGCCGGGAATGGCGCCGGAGAGGTTGAACTGCGGGACGTGGTTCGCGGGGACGTTGATGTTCTTGTATCCGGTCTTCTCCGCCACGAAGGAGAATACATTGCTTACAGTGCTATCGACTGATGAGCCTCATTCTACCCGAGGGCAATCGAACGCGGGACTCACGCGTTAGTATCCTGCCTTCCGAGACTATCGAGTCCCCAGTTCGCCTGCACGGTGCTGAGCGAGGAGTAGTGTGTGTACAGCGTGTCGTCCGTCGTGCCCCGCAGCTTGAGCGGGACCACGCCACCTGCAAGGTAATTCGCGAGTCAGAATGTTAAAAATAATAACATCCCTCGCAAGAAGGAATAGAGAGGAAAGCACGCACCGAGCGCCAAGCTGAATATCGTATTCTGAATCGCACCTGTCTCGTTCTCATCGAAAGTGAGTAGGATGAGCGTCTCCTCGTCGTTGACGCGCGGGTCGGTAAGGAGCGGCAGGAGCCAGTATTCGAGGAAAGACGCCGCGAAGTCGATGGTTGTGTCGTGCGCGTCATTGATCTGTGATGCAGAAGTGTGAGATGCACAGAATAACATGGCGGATGCACCGTGAAACGCGGCCACCGCAAATAAAGACACATACCATGTTCGGCGTAACGAATACCCATTGCGGAAGGGTCCCGTTCACGACGTCGTTGGCGAAGTCGTTGAAGTTGCGGATGCGCGCGGCGCGCGTGGGGTCCTGGGAACGGGTCAGATATACCACGTAAAATAAGTGAACAATTCACAATGTTGCAAATGCACCTGCGAAATGGAGTCATAGATGACGCATGGGTTATGCTTGCGCATGTAGTACGGGTACGGGGCGGCCGAGGAGTTGCCGTAGTTGGGCGCGGTGAAGCTGAAAGTAGGGTTATGAGCGAATGCGGGAGATGCACAAACGGACGCACATAATGCCATAAAAGGCATCCGCGGGTAAATTCTCCTGGTACGTCGCCCACGAGACTTTTTTGTCCTCTAACAGGTCGATCACGGTGCTGATTTTAGAAGGGATGTGGTACATGCTGGAGAAATGAGATTATATCAGTTTCTCACATTCCAACAACACCATAAAAGGCTGGGAAGAAGAAAGGAGAAACGCACTTGTCGTCGTGCATGCCGAAGAAGTCTCCGCCCAGGGCGGCCAGGTCTAAGAATACGGCGTCAATAAAACAGGAGAAAAAAAAAGTCAAATGGAGAACTCACAATTGGGCTCCGAAGGGTGAGTAACTGACTTGTAGTTGGTGAACAAGAGACCTTGCTCGGCGAGCGACTCGAATATGGGCGTGGACGCCGCAGTCTGAAGGAAATGAGCGGAATTGAACCATGACACAGTCGGCAACACGTACCTCGAAATCAGTGTTCTCGAGCCACACCTGGATGATGCGGTTGAATGCCTTCCCCTTTACATTGTTCTTGTCGTGCAGTGTGTTGTTAGAGAACGAGGTGTAGTTTGCAGTCTGAACCAATGGACCCTTGGACGGTGGCTCGAAGGTCTGCGCGGTGATGGCGTTTGCGAGGTGGACGGAGGAGATGGCGAACACGGCGGCGGAGACGAGCCTGAGGGTCCCGACAGACATGGCGAGGTGCGAGTGCGTCGTCGAATCACGCGGGGCGCTCAACATTTGAATAGGGCCGCATCCACGTGTGTGAAAAATGAGCCTATAATTAGCTGGCATTCCATATTTAAGATCCGAATCACCGCCGCGCGCGCTGATCCCCGACGTCGATACGAGATACACGCACGTTCTTCAGTCTTGACCATGCCGACAAACGGCGCGCTCCACAACGCATTCTGGCGCCATGCCGCCCTTAACGTTAGTCGCGTGGAATTTGAGTCAACTCGCGCTCAGACTTTGCCTCTCCCTACCGATTAGGGTGTTTTGGGGTGTCTAATTTATCGTGGACCAATCGTGGACTCTGATTGGTAGCCTCGCCGGGGGGAAACTGGACCCTGCGATCAGCCGGACCACGATGAAAGGAGAAGTGTGCACAATCGAATCTCGGTGTGTTTCATCAACGCGGCGAACTATCTTGCGATGGCTTTCAGAAGTTGTTCAGAAGCGTTTGTTGATGTATACCGAGTTGGAGATTATGTGGCCCAAAGGTAAGAAACTCGCAGCCGTGACTGCGACGGCAGCGGTAGCACCTGTCTGACCCACAGTTTGAATTCGGCAACCCAGCGCGAGTGAAGATGTAAGAGACGACTTGAAGACGACAGAGGGTGACGCAAGGGTGACGGAATCAACAGTGGCGATGCAGTCCGGGCCGCTGACCCGCACTCTGTTTTCGACCACCACCACTCAACCACCACTACGGACAAACCTTCGCGGTAGCAGGTTACGTAGAGAAACCGACCATCTATCTCATCGTGCAGAGCGTTTTTCGCGAGCCTTCTTCCCACTCTGATGCGTGGATGCTGCTTTTGCGACGCGATGCGGGCTCGGGCCGCGGAAAATCACTCTTTAGCACACAAGGAGTAACACATACGGTCTGCGCCTTTTTTGTGAGGTCGAAGGCTACGTGGCTCCCATGTGTATATCGTGGAAAATGCGCGGTAATTCGAGTCGTCAGACGCGTACGCGCGTTGCCTCGCCATCTTCATATGCGACCTGCCGCTGCCGAGTCGGATTAAAAAAGCCCGAGACTCAGAATCTGGTCAAAGCAGCCACTACCAAGCATCCTCCTCGCCTGACCCCGTTTAAAAAAGGCCGCTGTCGCCTCGCGAGAATACTGGCTTGACCGACGAAATCCGAGACGCTATTAGCAATTCCAGATGAAAAAAGAACCAGAATATCATCGATATCAACCAAGGCTCAGAATTCTGGACAGCGCTGTGATCTGTACATTCGAACTCTGGTGCATTTCGGTGCATTTTACCTGGCAGAATTTCGTGAAACTGGATTGGGCGCATCTCCCCCATTCACTTCTATTCTCCTGCCACGTTGTCCCTTACTAGCCTGGTTCCCAGCCATCCCTCCCAATCTGCCAAATTCAACGTCTGTAGCCCTCCCCAATGTAATTCAATCTTCGGATTTCTTCGGACTTTCGGACATGGATGCCGTGGTGACAAGACATTTTCGGAAGTCGTCATGTGCTCATCTCTTCCATCCCGCTGGCAACTCTGACGTCCCCCCGCCCTCATAATTTGGCCGCGGCTACCTACCTACCTACCTCAAGACTTAACATTGTATTTGAATGGATAACGATCTCCAACCTAGACCCGCACGCCGTTCCGGTCATCTTATTTTAATTTATTGTTGGCTGACATATTGCTCCCTGGACCTAAATCAGTCTCGGGATCTCACGCCCTCACCTGACGGCAGGCGCTTCTCTCGCTCTGACGGTCAAGCCATGTCGACCCCGAGTCGGACTGGCTCCTTCGACCCTCACTCTTCGACGACCTATCGTAAGTCGTGTCTTTCATCTAGAATAATACTGGTCCCAACTACCCCTTACAGGCTACGCCGTCGCTGCGGCATTGGGGGTCATCGTGCTTATCAGCTTTGCCCTCTTCGTGCGCTCGCGCATCCTAGAGCATAGGCAGGGGCCTACGCTGCCCATTGTCCGCAGGCTAGGCAATGCCATCACAGAGAAGCCTCGGCTGTACGAAGCGTATCTGGGCAGCGATGTCGCGTTGTTAGCTAATTGCGAATGGCAGGAAATAATGGTGCGTGTACCATTTCTTTTTCTTCGTTTCCATTCATATTGTCTAATCCGGTTCAAGCCTTTATCGGTCTACCGGCCGTCAAGCTGGCCTCAAAGTTCCACGAAGAGGATATCGCATGACGAAGAACCCTTCGCGTCGGTTCCCTCAAAACTCTCGATATTCATCAGCATGCCATTTCCCAATCCGACTACGAGAGGCATTATTCTGCCGCAGGCCTCGGGGGATGCTGTTCCGGAAGGAGACCCGCCTCTCCCGTATCTCGAGATTGGAATTGCCGATATCGACGCACCTCGTACCCAGCAGGGAGCTATGTGAGGCCAGTAGATGGATATTCCATCTTGGCCTTAGCCATGCCTATTAATGTGTAAATTAAATCCAAAGATGACCTTCTAGATCTATCCTCTACCATCAATGAAACAATACGAGGAAATCTAAACGATACATTAGCTCTTTCTACGACGTCCGTGCCCAAGTCGGCACTCCGTTATCGTACCCGGCCCAAGGTCCTTGCAACGCACTGTGAGTTCACGCCTTCCACTATAAAGGAGATTTCC